AAATAAAAATTCAAAAAATTAAAAAAAACTGGGAAAAAAAATTGTATAAAATTGCAGTGCAAGCAACTTTTGGCTGAAGGTCTCCTCAAAATTCCTTACTAATTTTAAGATAAAAATAAATGAGGAGAAATGAGGTAAGATATATGGTCATGTACCCTTTTAGACCCCTCTAGTCACTGTTTAGAGTAACTTTATGCCCCCCAAATACTCCTGGGTGACCCACCACCGAAATGGAAAGTAAGGCCGGATTCTGACTGGTCAGGCCGAGCGCAGTCCTGGCTTGAAGTCAGTTTCGTTTTTTTGGAGATCCTTCCCTCTTTTTTGACCCGCCTGGTTTTGCCGAGTGATCCGCCCCGGCCCAGCTGGCCCGGGCATGCCTGGCCGGGCGACGGCCCAGCCTAGATTTGTACACAATTCCCCAAGTCTTTGCCCAGGTTCCCAAAACTATGCGCATTATTCGTGACCGCGCTACCTAGGATGTATACGCTGGCACCAAACTTATGCCCAGGCCCAGCTGGCATTACCCCTGGGGTTTTGGGCAGCCCCTGCACAAAACAACACAAAAATAAATAAATTGGAATGTTCCCAAAAAAATGGTGTGCAGGATTCCAATACAAGCACCTTTTGGCTGAGGGTCGCACCAGAATTCCTTACAGAATTGGAGATAATAAAGAAAATAAGAGAATCACACTAGGGCACCCCCTTGTAAACCCATTTAGCCCATTCAACAACTCCTCACAAAACTGGAGGTAATAAAGAAAATAAGAGAATCACAATAAAGCAACGCCTTGTAAATCCCTTCAGCCCCTTTAAAACCAATTGACACCCCACTTCCCCCCCCTTTGACAGCCAACTCTCAAAAAAAGAAAGAGTTTGGATTTGGGGTCCTCTCATCTGGTTGCCTGCCTGGGCGTGACAATCTCCCTAGATCAGAAGCTAGTGTATATGTAAATCTTGTTGATGCGTTTGACCAGTAGTTTCTCATGAAGTGGTTACTAGTTCCTCGAGTAAGTGCTTGGAGTTCTTTTAGGCAAGTGTTTGGGGTTGCTAGTCAGTGCTTATTGTGGGTTCAACTTGGAATGTAAGCTTGTACGACCCCAAGAGGCATCCTGACGGTAAGCTTGTGGGACCAGCTTTAGAGATCAGCCGGTGGGCCTCTTGTTGGAATGGCCCCAAAGATAAATGATTAGGTTCTATCGCAGAACACAAGGTCTTCGGTACTGTATTTATGCTGGGGGAGGAAGGTAGTTCATTGTAGGTTTCTCATCCAGAGGGATTTGTTATTGGACTTCACTTTTCAGAGGAGTGTCATCGTAGGGGGGTGATGCTCTGTTATTGGACTTCACTTTTCAGAGGCGTGTCATCGTAGGGGGGTGATGCTCTCATCGCGGTCGTACCTTTTCAAAACAGCAGAAATGGCTACCTTTGATGAACCGGTCTATCAAGGGCGTAAAGTTGTCAACCCTTGGCTTCCCCTATGGAAAGTGAGGATTCATCGGTGTGGAAACAAAAGTAAGTGGCATTATTTTCCTCGAGAGGGCATGAATGCTTCCAGTTTTAGTTTGGAGATTATCTTTATGGGAAAATCGGCCACAGGCGGGGAAATCAGACCGTGCAGTCAAAGGGCATCAGCCCTTAGTTCTCCTTGTTAAACCACCAGTACCTTATAAAGTTGCGGCGATATACAAGCTGCGATAAACATGAATGAACGGGCCACTGCGGGAGCATACATCCGACGAGAAACGCTTCTACTCTTTGTTTTCTCGTGGCCGATGTATGGGAAAGGTACCGGTGGCTTGAGTGTGTGAGTTGTTATCTTTTCCCGTGGCCGATGTATGGGAAAGGGACCGGTGGCTTGAGTGTGTGGGTTGTTATCACGGAAACCAAGGGCAATGACATTCTTTCTTTGTGAGATGACTGCTTTGGGGGGGGCAGGAGGTCAATTAGTTATAGATGGAGATATCTTATGCCAAAGATGTGCACAGGGCTTAAACCACCAGTACACCACATATTGGTCCGTGGGTGTCAGCATGAAACCCGGATCACCTCGGAGGCCGCCTAATTTTTTTTTCAACAGCGGGCCTGGCCGCGCAGCGCCTTCGAGTTTTGCTTGTGGTGACAAAAACGTTCTGCAAGGCTGGGGCCTTGTACTAGTGGTTCAATGCCTGCTTGAACATGCAGTTCCGTCATGCCACCAGGACATGTTTAGGGTTATGCTATGATCTGGGCTGCGCACTTAAGTATCAGGAATCTTCTTGTTTAATAAGAGTGATTTGTTTGGACCTTGGCATTTTGGGGCCATCGTATGCTGCTCCCCTCACTGCTCATTTGTGGACGAAGGACTTGTGGGCTAAGTAGGGTGTGTACTGTTTAGCAAGCCAGTTGGACTGATGGAGAGAGAATGACGGTCGATCACCTCGGCCTTCCATTGTCTCCGCAGTACCAACTAATTCTTGGCAGGTTACCACATGCGGTTTTTGTGCTATCGTTAAACCACCAGTTCATTCGAGCCTCTTTCGTACGAGCCGGATGCCCCTACGAGCCGAGCTCTGCTGAAAAACCAGCGCGGCATTTTTGTTTCCTTTCTGGCTGATGCGGTCAGCCATTTTGGTCCGGTTGCCCCGAGCGTCTAAACTTTTCGGAGGGAGCCTGTGGTCGTGCTCAAGTTGCCTAGGGTCATGTACTCTCGGTCAAAGCAATGTAAGTTCGGTACAGTAGGTCCATTTCCTACCGGACGAGTCTGCAGGAGAGTACTATTGACAGTCCGTCCTCCACTTGCTAGGCACTCCCTTACCCTCCTCCTTTCGTGGTCCCTTCATGGTACTCGTGTCCTGGAGGGAGTGTAGGTCGTAATGTGACATTTGATCCAGGCAGCCTTAGTATGTTGAAAGAGTTGAGCTGTCCATCTGGTGACGACTGCTATACAAGTGTTTTGATAAGATGGGATGGACCTTTGCGCAGGTGATGGACCCTTGAGCTGCACTGAGCTTTGCCCAGGGGATGACCTTGCCTAGGCGAGGGCCAATTTCTTGGGGTGTGCCAAACATACAAGTGCTGCCCAGCAACCAACGCTCTTCTTGTTGACATCCAGCCATAGAGCTCAGCTCTGGGGTGAGCTGATGATGAGATGTTTTCGCCCTGAGGGAGCTCCTTGTAGGTTTGACTTTCCACTAGTATTAGGAATTCCAACTGCCTATTTATTAAAAGGTCATGCCCAAGGCCGACCTCAGGGTGGTATATATGCCACTTCAGAACTATTATGACCGCCTTCTCTTGCTCTCCTGGTCCTTACTCGCCTCCGTTGCACGCCCTCACCCTGAAGACACATGCAGACACAGACATGTACTGAGGTGCCAGGCAAAGCGCAGTGTGCCAAAAGAGGTTTCAGTGAAACAAACTGTATAATCGTGTTTGCGCACACCTTCCTATCTTCGCATGGCAGTGTGGAGTGATTCATGAGAGAGGGAGGGAAAGAGATCCAATGCGAATATGAAACTAATCTCCGAAGAAAAGATCCATTGTGGACGAGGCTGGGCAAGATCCCGGGAAATATGTAAAGTCCATTCATTTATGGACTAGATAAATTTCCGGACCACATTCTCGCGAAAACATGAACACCCATGTTAACGGGGCTATTGAATAGAGAAGTGGTTGGGGTGAATACACAGCATTTTACTCCCAGTGGGAGAAATTACTGGGCCTTTGGTAGAGCTTATGTCAGTAATCTGTGGCAGCGCTGGCTGCTATGTTTGACTGCAACGGGCAATGTGATATCTTTTTACCATAGCAGTACCTATTAGACACTAATGTTGTGTAACCTTCCTATTAGGTACTTGGCATCTTCGTGACCAACAGAAATGAACGCTTGTATATGTCCCATGCCACCGTACTGAAGTTTGGTGAGCGTGAGAATCGAACTCCAAGCCCACATCTTGTCTACAGTTGCAGAAGGAACCCCGTCGATAAGATTTGACTATTTGACTTCAGCAATGGTTTCTTTTATGATCCAAAGGGGGCAGGGGTCACATTTCTCACTTCTGAAATTTGAACTCCGTGGTCTCTGACCTTCCTTCCCGGGAGTCATCGTCGACTGTGCGTGCCATGCGCAGGGGTAAGGTAGGTTTCACCGATGGTTGGTCCTATGTGGCACTCATCGTCATTCATTTTTCGAGTAGTGTCTTGTCCCGCGGCAGCCGTTCAACCTGTTGGAATGCTCGAGGGTTGCATGTTGTTGATGTTTGATCAGGTCCCCACGGAACGAGTAAAATAAAGCAACTGTTGTGCTGCACACTTTAAAGAATGATAACAGAGACGGATTGGAATGCGGATGAACTGTGACGTGGAGTATGTCCGTGTATTAGGTTTTCGCATGTTAACATTGAAATTGTCCCTTCCCAATCAATCCCATTGAATACAAGGCCCTAGTTGGCCTTGAAATCGGACCAGATAGAACGATGATATTGACCCTTGTGAGTGTTCTGTGGAGCAATAAATCTGCAATTTTGTGGAGGTCGAGGACGTAGTAGAGATCTGCTTGCTAATTTTGTCCCCTCCCCTGCACATATGCCCTTCGTGGTATTTGAATGAAGGGCTTTTTTTCTGTTCTTCATTGACAACATTAGAGGCTTAAATCATCAGTATGTTTCCCAGCCATTTTCTCAAATCGCGGCTCACATGCTGCCGCAAGTTTTGGGGTGTCGGCTGCCGGAGCAAAATGGCTGGCGGCGCCAGCGAAAAGGAGGCCGGTGCCGGGCCTTTTGAGCCCTGTGAAAAAGTGCCTTGTACGTAATGGTGGTTCAAGTTACGTTGGCAAAAGAAAAGCATAATGATTAGAGTCTCCATCAGCGAAAGCGGTACTTAACCAGTGGGCTTCCTATGTCCGGGTAGCCCAAGGAAGAGGAGAATTAACAAGGGGCTTGTTGACAGGTAAGGGAAAAGATGGGCCCTTTGGCAAGCTTGTTGTCGGTGCTGATTTGGTGGTTCTTGTTGTGATACATCAGGGGATGCGATGGATATCGGCAATGGGTATGGAGTACCTGGAGGCGGTGCTTATGGGAACTTGTCTTCAAGGGCCATGGCTTTCCCTGCTACTCATTCGTCAATGCAGCCTAGTGCCGCTCCACTTGGGTCAAGACTGCCAGGTGTCGATGTGAATTTGGGTGCGCACCATCTGACTTCGACGGCCTCGAGTATGGCGACGCTGCCAGATGCTTCTGCATCCCTTTCAGCAGACGGTAGAGCTGAAAACGAACGAATGTCCATCTCTGCGGCACTGACGGAGCCTGGCAGAGCTTCTGGTGAGGAGATGACAGAGGCAGTACCTGATGGAGGGGACGACAGCACGAAGGATGTGCCAGCTTATCTGAAGCAAAGGTTGATGGCACGGGGCATCCTACAACAGGGCAGTGAAGTCTCAGAAGGCAATACCACAATGGTGAGCAGTGCGCAAGGTGTGGAATTTTTTGCATTTTTTTTCTGGACCATATCTCGATGTTTGCCTGTCATCCTTGCGTAGGGGCCATGCTAATCTTCTCTGCATCGTTGCAATTTTAATGGATGTTCCGGTCGACAGGTGATTTTTTATGAAGAAACACGTGGTGTGAATTTCTACAAGGCACATGCTGTCTGCTGCTTTGCTGCTTCCATCTCTCTGCCTTGCCTAGCTCATTTTGTACTCCCATCACACCCTTTCTGGTTCCTTCTCCCTTTACTCCCTCTCCTCTGAATTACAAAGCTCGCAATGTTTGTGTGCCACTGTTCTGTATGGCACACAACTCTCAATCACACAAACTCATTGCCGTGTCAGACAATCACACAAATTCATTGCCGTGTCAGACGAGTAATCTCTGACCAAGCTTTGTAATTAAGAGGAGAGGGACAGTAAAGGGAGAAGGAACCAGAAAGGCGGTGATGGGAGTAACAAAATGAGTTAAACTATGCTACTCGTAATTTTCTCTTGTTCCCGTCTCCCTTTGGCACACGCCGCTGAGATGGCACCATTGACAGTGGAACCCTGAGAGGCCAGGGTGTGGCAGTAATGTTTTGAAATTTGAAGTCTACCATTTTTTCTCCTAAACCACCAATGCTGGGACCCTTCACTGAAACTTGCGGCTCTCCACAACGAGGTGGGGGAACGCTTCTCTGTTCCAGCCCCAAGAGATACCGGCATGGTGAAAAGATTTCGAGTGTCTCAATGTTGGCGATCTTCAGTTCTCATAATCACTGACAATAAAACCGAAACAAATCAGGGAGTGCATCAGGGAAAAGGCACTGAATGTGACCGTATGCAACTGTCATCGCGACCAGATTCACGCAATGAAGCCCTTAGGTTGGCTAGAATGTGCGAATGAAACATATTTTAGAATAATAGACAAATGAAAAGGATCTTGTCGCAAGTGAAATGCATGTGGATCATCTTCGGTGTGATCCAGGAGGCTGGGGTAGCCAGGCTAGGTGATTTTGTTTCCTTTTTTCACTTCTCTTCTGTTCCCCCCTTCCCCCTCCCCCCTGCCCTTTTTCTTTTCGTGTGTCATCCTTGCGCAGGGACCATGCTAATCTTCTCTGTATCTTTCCAATTTCAATCCACCAGTTCACAGGAACTTGACTTGACAAAGCAACCTTTCATGCCTCGCGACTGTGCTATTCCGCCTTTTGTCGAAGTGGCCTGCTGCTTTTGCTACCGACCCAAGCCCGACACAGAACTGTCGTACTGCGTCTATCGGCGAGGCCACGACTTCGGGTCGCATGAACTGGTGGTTTAAACTGCCACTACATTCCTCTAGTAGGATGAGACGTCCTTTATGGCCCTTGATATTTCTGGCACCTGCGACGCTCGATGCTGTTCTCTCTGTTTATGGTCGGGTGGCCGGGGGTGGGGGCGGGGGAGACGGGGGTGTCCAAAGTTGCTTGCGGCACATTCGTGTGCACGGTCTTATTGTGGTTGTTGATGCAGGAGTGGGTTGTGACGACTGCTCCTTGTCTCAGTAGTATTGCTTGATTGGGGTCAACGAGGCAGGGGTGGCCCAGGGAACGGAACCATTTGTGGTCTCCCACATTACGTCTGACAGAATTGTCCATTTGTCAATTTCAGGTCCAAACAGGAGCAGCACAGGCGACCACATCTGCAACTCCAACAAGTGATGCGACAGCACCGGACAGCTCTAACACAGAACTACCCCCTGGCTGGGTTCGTACCTCAACGTATCTGCCCTTTTCTTTGTTTTGATTCTCTTTTCCTGTCCTGTCGTACGAGTGTTAGGGTAAAGCGCCATTGGTCGTACTACATTCATGTTTTGGAAAACATGATCCTTAATTTATTCTTCTGTGTAGTATTGCATACCTCAACGGTCGGCGCCCCTTGACTGGTTGGCATCTATCGGTCAGGGGTGGTTGGCAATGCACAAAAGAAATAAGAATGTGTTTTTGTTATCTGTTTTTGTTTTGGGTCCGGAACCCACAATTAACCACATCAACACCCCACCTGCTCCCAACAGCCACATACACTCCCCCAACACCCACAAACCGCCCCCCAATACCCCCTATACCATCCCTACACCCCCCTATTCCCTCTATCCCCCCACCAATAACCCCCATACCCGCCCATCCCCAAAGTTTCTCAGCGGATCAATGGATGGCTGTTTTCTGACTTGTCGGCAGACCGCCGACCGGTCGGCTGCAAAACGGTCCGCAGTCGGGCTCGGCGGTCGGCACGTATGCAACCCTGCTTCTGTGTTCTCTTGCATTGCATTGCCGTGGTTATGTTCTTCTTCCTTACTTTTCATATTTGACGTGAGAGTTTTTTTCTTTCTTTTCTTGCCACATGTGAGAAGTATATAAGGCATATAAGGCAGAGTGAAAACCCAAGATGTGTGGGTGTGTATTGGGGGAGAAGGTGGGGGGTTGGGAGGAGAGAGAGAGAGAGAGAGAGAGAGAGATTATGGGCATATTAGCACAGTCCAGTCTCACAATGTATGCAGAGGCAGCTCTGTGCACATCTTGGATGTGAGTCCTTGTGCGGGTGTGCACATGTACAAGAAGAGGAAAGCAAGTGAGAAAGATGATGCCCATTTCGATTCATGCAAGGAATGCTGGGCAGGATGAAACCTCAAAATGGTATGTCATAAGATAGGATGCAGATGACCTGTGTTTGGATGAGCTAGGGGTATGGTGGATTTGCGTGTATGATTATGAGGATTAAAATGTTTGGGAAGTGGCGATCGTTTTTCCTCCCAAGTCTTTGAAAGTTATGAATTATGCGGCAGATTGAGTGCATGGATCTGACTTTATTGTAATTGGTTGTGTGACTCTCAAAATACGATCCGCAGACGAAAGGCATCGATCCTGCAACGAATGCGACGTACTACTACAACGCTACAACTGGGCAGAGTCAGTGGGATCGGCCCGTCGCTCCGAAACAGGTCATGCCGCCGCCGCCGCCCCCTGCAAAGCAGCCGCTGCCAAAGAATTGGGAAGAGGCAACTGATCCTGCCAGCGGTAAGTTTATCCTTGTCCTGTGGTGGAAACCAATTTTGGTCAGTGACAGCTGCTGATGCTCTTCATGTAAATTCGGCATTGCAAGTAGGGACATGGTCCACGCTACGTAATCCGTCACCGTCTGGACCACGTGTGACCAAGCACACAACCCAGTTGCAAGCACTGTCCATGTCCATGTGATCGAAACAGGGTCAAAGCAGTTCATGATGCCTAAAATAACTTGCCCCGATACCACGCTTTCCAAGGGTGGTTAGTCGGTAGCTGAGCAGCCTGGCAACAACCCCATCACGACTTGATCAGGGCTCTGCAGAGGCGGGAATGAACCTCTGTGTTTGGTTTACGGGGCCGGTTTACGTGGGTGGACTGGGGATGGACCCCCGTGTTTGGTTTATGGGGCTGGTTTTCGTGGGTGGGCTTACATCATTTGGATTGTTTACTTTCTGATGAGAACGACCGTCGTGCTCCAAGCAGAAGACATCCTCATCAAGACTGTAGACAAGTAATCTCACCCGTCGGATACAGTCACGACGAAGGCTTGTTGTGTTTAGGGAAGGTAGGAGGTGGAGAGATGTACTGATGGGGTGTGGTGACTGCCGAATGGCAGGCAACTTAGGGAAGTAGTGTGAGGGGAAATGCACACAAGTTCTCGTGTAAGGGAGGGGCACATCTGTGTGGGGGGTTGCCGAAAGAGAGGCTTGGGGAGGACCAGGGGGGGGGGGGGGGGGGGGGGGAGAGGGTTTTCGAGCACATTCGCAGAAGGTGCTACTTACTACAGGGGCTCAGGTCGTATAAGGGTCGAGCACAACTGTGTTCGGCAAGTAGTGTGAGGTGAAATGCATACAGGTTCTCGTATAAGCGAAGAAGGGCACTTCTGAGTGGGGGGGAATGAAGAGAGGCTTGGGGAGACCGAGGAGGGAGGGGGGGGGGGGGGGGGGGAAGAGAGGCTCTCCGTGCACATTTGTAGGAGGCACTACGTACTACGTACGTAGACTAGATTTGACCTGTGTTGACTTGAAAGAAGATCTTCAAACTGTGGCGTGGTTGATCGCTCTCAAGGGCAGTGTTGCAGATCACTGACTGTGAAACTTCTTCCCGAACAGAATGCACTGTCATTATGGCCGTATCTAGTCTGGAACTGGCCTCAAATTGATCTGTAAGCACTCAGACTGGGTTATATTCGGTGGAAGAGGGTAGTTTCCGATGTGCATCTCTGAAGGCCATGGTGCGGAGTCTTTGTCCACTAGTTTGCATACTGCTGAGTGTTCTGCCTCTTGTCTGTTTGTGAATGTGTACTGCCCTACCCCCCCTCTCCTTTGGCGACATTGCTTCGCAGGGCAAAAGTACTACTACAATTCCAAAACCAATGAGACGAGGTGGGAGAGGCCAACGGAACCTATGCCCCAGGTTACAGAGCCAGTAAAAGTGGAGCCTGCCAGGGTGGAAAGCCGACCAGAGGCCGTTGTTACGGCTAACGGTATGTTGGAGGACGCATCCAACGGGGGTACCCCACGATTCAAGCGCTGCTTAGAATGTGGAGGCTGGGGAAGGGGGCTTGTTCAAGCGAACGGATACTGCAATCACTGCATAAGGTGAGTCGTCGTCGTCGTCGTGGTCTCACCCTTGTTTTTTTTTTGTTTTTTTTTTTTAAAAACAGGAAAGGCTGCTAGGGGAGGTGGTACCAGCATCCCCCCCTAGCAGGTTTCCTAGTTGCTCCAATCTATTGGTGGGGAGCCTCACCTGCTGGAAATCGGCTCCAGTGTCCCATTTTACATCAGACTGTGGTCTCACCTTGTTCCTCTTGGTCGTATTTGTCCAGCTTCCGTCATCTGTGCAGTGATTATGCCCAGGTTCGGTCATTTCTTCGTCTCATCACTTTGGATGATGTGCATCGGGGACCAATTCTCTGTCTGCTGCCTGGCCAGCCACTCCCGACTTCACTTTTTTTTTTTTTTTTTTTTTTTTTTTTTTCAGCATCCACACCCTGATGTGTGTGCGTGCACTAAATAGGCCCCCACATCATTTCAGTGCATAATATATAACTATGATAACGAGGAACAACCAATGTCATCGAGTGTTGGCCGTGCCTGCTATCTGTTTGATCTTCGTACTATTTTGTCCTTGCTGTTTCTGTACTTGCCCTTCATTTTGCCAAACATTCTGCGACCAGGTCTTTTTGTGTAGGCTTTTTCGTACGTTTGCTGTGCAAGTGTGAACACTGGAAAAGCCTTGCATCGGAGAATGAACTGGCATACATGTAAAACTCCGCAGATGTTTCGTCCTCTTGTGTGTGTGTGTGCACCGAATGATGGCGATCCGATTTGATGAAAACTTCATGAAAGATGACGACCATTTTGTTCTAGTGCTGGGGGGAACAATGTGATTGCCTGATTACGCCCAATGATTGGAACTCTTGGGGGCCCCAATAAAAGCCATTATGAAATCTTTTTTTTTTTACGGAGCTTTTGATGATCGATCTCTGAAAGCCGAAGCAATCTAAGGTCCCAGCCAAAAAAAAATGAAAAACCCAAAAATCCAAAAAAAGAACTGTCGTGCAGAAAAATAAACTAAACAACTTTTGCCTCTGGGTCACATCGAATTTCTTTACCAAATTTAAAGTAAAAATTTAATCTTTTTGACCCGGCCGGGCAAGTGGACCCGGGCCACTCTGGTAGCTAAGTAGTAGCTAAAACAAAGCACCAAAAAAAAAAAACGCGATTTTTTTTTATTTTTTTATTTTTTTTTGGCAAATCAGCAAAAAATAGTTGATGAAGTAGTACATACCCAGTAGGCGGGGTAGATGCAAGCTCATGTAGCCTGTCCTAAAAGTGTGCCATGTAAAGAATAAATAAAAATTAGAGGAGGAAATTATTTTCCATTGTGAACTTTTCATTTGTCAAGTTTTGAAATTGGAAAATGGGTTTGTGGTCCTTGTGGAACGGGAAGTGTATGCTTTTTTAAAGTTTTTTTTATTATTATTAAAAAAAAAAATCCGTTTTTAGCGCTGGAGCCCTGAAGTGCACTGATTAGTAACTCATTTTCCTTAGTGCTGAACGTGCGCTAGTTGTGCACCAGCCATAGCCAGCCAGCCAGATCTTGCGGTTCTGTGAACTGGAGTGTCTTTTGGATCTGTTCATCGATTGTTCCTCTGGACATAAAGTCGCGCATTTCCATATTCGGTTTTCCTTCCGCCCTCATCCGAATAGAATACCTGGTTGGTATATGGCTTTAATGACCACATGTTGCGCGAATAGAGCTATAATGACCAGACATTCTATTTTGGTGACGATGGGAGTTTCACCGACTATTCTGATACTCATCTTCGACTCCAGTTTTGCGCGAGGTTGCAAAATCAATTGCAGTGCAATCGAAATCAACCGCGAGTGAAAGCTTGACGAAGTTTCGGAGAAAGTACTCGTCAGTTTCAAAGAAACTTCCTAACCAACACAATATTTCCAGGATGCGGTGTCATGTTAGAATTTGACTGTCTTGGCGAATACCGCTAAATACATCAAAAGATTTCCAACCCGAGGAAGGCAAATGAGTCGCAACCATGTTTTTGGAAATTTGGATATACTCATGTCCGGTGAAGATTCGAAGGAAGTAGTTTTGAGGGTTTCTTGACCTACTCATGTTCCGTTAACCAAGGATTACATGTGGGGTACCATTTGGCCCACATGGGCTGGGCGACCCTCGGCGGATATGTATGATCTTTTAGGGCACACTCTCTCAAAAGACTTCAAATGTTCATAAAACGAAGTGCAGTTCTTTGTCGATTTGTTCTGCTGAGTGTCGCGTTCTCCTGGTTCTCCAATGCTAGTGGAAACGAATGTGCATCTGGGAATAAAATAAAGGGAAAAACAAAAATGATCCTGGTTGTTGTGTCCTCGTGGTTCTGCAATGCTAGTGGAAGCAAATCTTCGTCTGGAGAAAAGGAAGTAAAAAAAAATGATGCCTTCATGTGGACAAGCACGATCGTTTGTGCGAACGTTTTGTTGCATAACACTGTGGGAGTCCTTGGACTCAGTTGGTACACTCGTGAACTCTGCTGAAATACAGACCCAAGTGCGAATCCAGATGCAATCGAATCCAGATGCAATCAGATGTACAGGAGAATAATATAAGTCTAAATTGCCTGGGGCGCAAAAGAAATGAATAAAAAGCTGTCACAACATTGAGCAATATCAGGGAGGAAGAGAAGGGGATGGATGATGGGTGATCGGTGAGGGACCATGAATGGTGTGGTTGATATAGAACATGTTCTTCCGTTTGTAGTCTGCAGGGGCACAATCACGAAGGCCACCTCGGGTATGAGCCCTTGTAGCAGTCCCAGTAATGCCTGCCAACCACGATTGGGTCGTGACTTGTGAGAGAGCAGAGGTCCGAGTCATGGTGAAGACAGAAGTGGGCAGTCATCCTGCAGCAGTGATGTTGTTCGTGGATACCGTGCGTGCCGATGTGGTGGAATTCTCTGATGAAATGTGCTCATATCGGGTACGTGGGGAATTGGCTTGCAGAGTGCTCAACATTCCGGCGATTACTCCTCTCGTGACGAAGCGCGGGGCAGGGGCCATAGCAGTGGACAAGGATCAGGAAGTGGAGCCTGAGTTCAAGCACAAATGGCAACAGGATATTGCCGCGGCGGTAGAAGCCGAGTCCAAGAAGCCGCGGATGGATAGGCGCCCGGGTTCAAGAGCCGGATCAGGACTGGACCCAGCCTCAAAGTAGGGTGTTTAGTTGTGTGTTTCTCACCTCTTCTCCCTCCCGCCCTCGCCCTTCCCCCCTCGGACCTCTTCCTTCTCTTTGATGCGAGCTTTCCCCTTCCTCTTTGCCTACCCTTTGTTTTTTCTCCCCTCCTGCTGTCTGTTCTGATGCTTTCCTTTCCCTCCCTCGCTTCTCCACTTTGTGCGTCATCATTTGCTCTCTCTCTCTCTCTCTCTGCTCACATTCTTCATTGGAAAGCTGAACTTGTGCATGCATTGGAACTTCCCATTGGACGCAGGAGCCCGCTTATGTCAGCTCTCATCGATCTTCCACTTGGTTCTTTTTTTTTTTGAGAAGTGTGTTTAGGCCCTATCATGATTGCGTTCGTGTTAGTCCGTCAGGATCTGTACTCGTGAGCTGTTGACAAATGGCTACGTGTGGTGTACCGTTCAGTCACATGCGGGAGGGGTGGAGTCGGTGGGTGCAGGAGGGGTGAATGTGATGGCACGGAGATAGTAGCTTGCAGGTTTGGGATGGCAGTAGGAGGAGAGCATGCATAGCTGCATTAATTGTCCTTGCGAGAACGAAAGCTGAACTTGTTGTGCACACTTTAAAGAAGGAGGCGGCTCTCTGTGCTTGCGAGAACGAAAGAATAGTGGAAATCGCGGGAGGATAAGAGACCTGCATGTCGTTCTTGGTCGAAGCTGCATAGTTGCATTGATTGCGGCCTTGTGCACGCTTTCAGGAAGAAGGCGGCTTTCTGTGCTTGCGAGAACGAAAGAACAGTGGAAAGCGTGGGAGGATAAGAAGAGTAGACCCACACGTTGTTCCTTGGATCAAGTGGGCGAATCTGCTTCGCGGATGGAACAGCACAGAAATAGGACGTTGGGTGTCGGGCCGAAACCTGGCAACGTGTTTGCGTTATGGATACGACATGGGTTACGCGTGTCTGGCCTTCTACAAATTAGACGATGCATGTATCTACTGGTCCTTGCTTGTCGAGTCCAAGGGACCAAGAAACGGTGCGGAGGTAGGAGGATCAGTCATGGTTTCTTTCGTTGAGAGGTTGCATCTGGTCGTTGCTTGTTGAGTCGAAAAGACCAAGAAACAGTGCGGAGGTAGGAGGACTGGTGTTGGGCCGAGACCTGGCGGCGTGTTTGCGTCATGGATACGGCATGGGCTACGCGTGTCTGGCCTCCATCTTTTTTCAAGTTGGACGAAGCATGTACGCTACTGCTCCAGGTTTCTTTCGTTGACCAGTCACCTCTGGTCATTGCTCGTTGGGAGTCCAGACGGCCAAGCTGACCGGATGCAAAAATGTAGAATGGGCCTTGTTATGCACTCACCGTTGAGGGAGGGGTTTTGTACGAGAACAGCTGCCGGAACAGTGCTTCCTAGCAACTGAACTGAGAACAAGTAAGCCTTAGACGAGATGGGCGCCGCACAGTTCAAAGGAAGCCCCTTGAAGTCGATGCTTGGAGCGTTGTTTCAGCTCCGCATTGCGGATAGCAGTGTCGTGCTTGCAGGGGGTAACCGTTGCGGGCCTTTTCGTACCCTCGAAGTCAACGTTGCGGGTTGCCGTCCGGGGTAGAAGGGTAGAAGAGCCGTACGGGTATTCGTTGATGGGAGGACTTGTGGAAAGTCTACGTGGGTTGCAGGGGTAGAAGAGCCGTACAGGTATTCGTCGACGGGAGGACTTGTGGAAAGTCTATGTTGTCCGAATAGTCCTAGTCTATGTTGTCTGAATAGTCCTGTTTCTGCACAACAGGCTGTGGCTTTGGCTTCCTTGGATTTGTGAAAAGCAGTACCCTTCATCGGCATTATGGAAGGGCACACATATGTTATACACCACATACCTTGAGAATGCCTCCAGAGTGAAAGTGGGCGACTGGATCCCAAACAAATTTCCGTGGCGATTCTGCCATTTCATTCCTCCGGAGTGCCCTTTTTCGCTGTCTGCCTGCAGTGTTACGAGGAGGTACCGTTGTCGGGCATTTGATCTGTACCGGGTCATCTTATCTGTGGAATTGAGCTGAAAGTTTTGCACTAAATCCGGCTTCGAGGAGGTGCGGGTGTCGTGTTCGGGTAAATAAAGGATGGTGGGTAGCGATCGTTAGGTGGTGACGATCTGTATTAGGGAAGAGTGCGTCTGTCTACATTGCCTCGACACCAACCCTGGGTTCGAAAACGTTTTTGAGCATCGTTCGCTGTAGGTGAGAGGACTAGCGAGCTTTGGTGGCAACGGTACGCAAAGGTTTGGCTGTTCCGGTGGTTCAAGGCTTCCGTGGCAGTCGACAAGCATGCAGTTCGTCAAGCTCGTGGGATATCATTTGCCGGATTTTTCGGGATGTGCGAGATGGGTGTATGTGGTAGATGTGTCCAAACTGAAGGGTGTTTCGCGTTGGAGCGCAGGCGGTTGCAATGAAGGCAAACGAAGTGAAGGTGACTGCATCCAAACTGAAGAAGCGAACTGGATGTGAAATCACAAGGGAGAGTTTCTATGGAGTTTTTGTAGAAATCAGGGAGGAGCAAGATGGGGCGACACCCAAGTGCGGGAAGAGGCTGTACAATTAGTGAGTACGTAGAGAGAGAGAGAGAGAGAGAGAGAGATTCTGCTATGGAGAGACTGCTATCACCGACTACCAGAGAGAGAGAGAGAGAGAGAGAGAGAGAGACTGCTAATGCTGCCTGCTATCGCTGACTACCTGGGTTAGGTAGAAGCACGAGACTGAGAGAGAGAGAGAGAGAGAGAGAGAGAGAGAGAGAGAGACTCTGCTATCGCCGAATACCTGGGTTAGGTAGAAGCACGAGTCTCGTTTAGGAAATCAGGGAAAGGATAGAGTGAGTCGGCGAACAGGTTAAGTGCAGTTTTGCTGTCTGAAAATATGATGAAAAGGAGAGCATCTCAACTTGGGAATTAAGGAAAAGCAGAGAGGAGACTATGAGTGCACTTATGGAGGGCTGTTCCTATTTGGCAACAAGGAAAAGTGGAGAAGAGAGTATCGGTGTACTGCGAATTTGAGTCATATGTGTTACAGGTTCATTGATCAAAAGAGAAAATTATGGAGGGGAGTTTTTCTTTGGGAACAAGGAAAAGTGGGGAGAGAAAATTATCAAGGGGTGTACTATAAATGTGAGTCATCTGTGTGACCGATTGATTGAGCGAAGGAGAAAGCTGCGAAAAGAATGTCGTTGTGCTGTACTCGAGTTGTCATTGGATTTTTTTTTTTTTTTTTTTTTTTTTTTTT